CCATGACACTCATGGCCGCGCCGCAGCATGAGGAGTCGCGTTCGTTTCGCTCCGCGTTTCTCGCGTCCGTTATCGTCCGCGAGTGTGTGTCGCGCGCCAGAAAGGATCGCGAGCATCTTCCGCGCCGCGTCGGAGTGTCGGACGTTCGTCGCGACGCCGACGTCGCGCGTACTCGACCGGTGTCGCCAATATTCCCGGCTCCCGGGGACGGTCGTTTGTAGGCTCGTCCGCCAAGGCAAGGACTAGGTTGATCATCGTCAGGTACGTACGTGCCGCGTAGCTGCCTCGTGGCCGTAATTCATAATTCGTAGCATTTTCAACAATCGTTCGCCTCCTGGGGCTCGATTCTCGAATTCACTCCAAGGAGAAACGTACGCGAAAATTCTGCGCTTGCAGAAAAGTTGCAGGCTGATCGGCTGTTGGCGTGGATTTTGACCAATCGGCGCGCAACTTTTGCCAGAGCACAATTTTCGCACACGTATCTCTTTCGAATGAATTCGAGAATCGAGCCCCTCGCCTCACCGCCTCGAAAGCTCGAGCGAAATCTTCATTTCCCGCGCAAAGCGAAAAGAGCGCGAAACCGGGCGAACAAACCGAAATACCGTGACGCGATTGGCCCGTAATGTTTCGCCGCCCGCCAATCGCGGGCGTCTTGTCGGCGGCGGAGCCGCGGCAGCCATGACACTCATGGCCGCGCCGCAGCATGAGGAGTCGCGTTCGTTTCGCTCCGCGTTTCTCGCGTCCGTTACCGTCCGCGAGTGTGTGTCGCGCGCCAGAAAGGATCGCGAGCATCTTCCGCGCCGCGTCGGAGTGTCGGACGTTCGTCGCGACTCGGGCGTCGCGCGTACTCGACCGGTGTCGCCAATGTTCCCGGCTCCCGGGGACGGTCGTTTGGAGGCTCGTTCGCCAAGGCGAAGACTAGGCTGATGATCGTCAGGTATGTACGTGCGTGCGTTACTGCCTTGTGGCCGTAATTAGTCGCGTTGCTCGTCACATTTGCGGCCGAGGATCTTCGACGGCGTCTCGTCGACGCTGTTGTCGGTCATTGCGTTTGAAATCTACGGCTTCAGTCTCATTGGTGCTTCGTAACGGCAGGTCGTGTTCACGTGATACGCGCGACGTCATTTGCAGATGGCGAAGTCGCGGGGGGCGGGGGTGGAGGGGGAGACGTTCGCGCGGCGTTTCCAACCTCGTCCGGGACGACCGTGCGTTCGGCGTACGACAGAGTTTCGCGTGATTGTTACGCGAGGAGTGACCGCCGGGTTTGTGACTTATTAGTATGAATTTGTTTTCACGGTGACGAGTGCGCGAGAGGATATGGAGGTTGTGAGTCGCGTAACGAAGTGACAACAGGTTTGTTTTCTGTTCCTGCACTGGTGAACTATGCAGTAAGCTGGAATGAGAAAAAATATACTCGTCTTACCCTAATTTATTGCACTACTACTTCACCAGTGTAGCAACAGGAAACAAGCGCCTAAAGTGCCAGTTCTCTTTAGCTGCCTGCGCCAGTACAAAGCTTATCTTCTTCCCTTTAAAGTGGAAAAAGAAAGATAACCTCCAAACAGGCGCAGCCAGTTGAGCGGAAAAGAACAGGCCTAGCGACTGAGATTTTAACGCCATGCATCACCGGCACTATCGGTCGCAAAGAACGCGCGAAACTCGTGGAAACTAACACGTTTGCAGTAAATGTAATACAATTCAGATCTAATAACGAAAATTTCACTCCGGTGTTGACAGAGGAGGACAAACAGGTCCCGGCGTTCAACGTGTCAATTTATTCTCGTGACGCGACTTGCATTACGTATGTCGTTTGATGCGCGCAATGATTCACGTTAGGTAATCGTTGGATAGACGAGAATGGCGGTCACTATCGGTGAGCTATTTTACTCTCGGCAACCTTTCTCCCTTTATTCGTTCTGGAATGATGCGCCCAGTACGAAAGCGAGAGAATAAAAACACAAGATTCGACGATGCTCGGCATCGCGTTAAAACGATAATATGTGTTTGCAGAGTCTGTGATATGCCTGTGTCTGGTGGCGCTTCTTTGGGGAGCGACTAATCCGTTTCTAAAGAAAGGCGCGCAAGGTCTGGAGGATGTCAAGGCCGCGTCCTTTTACGGGCAATTTGTCAAGGAGTTGGCGTTTCTGGTCACCAATCTGAAGGTTCGTCTCTACGTAGACTTCATCAAACTGACTCTTAGAGGTCTTTATAACTGAACTAGCTGCACCGCTTCAGAGTTTGTCCTTTTCCTTCTAATGTGGAAGGAGAGAGCTAAACTCTCAACTGATGCAGTATGTTCAGCTATAAAAAATAGATCTTGTGTTATAAAGTCTGCGTCTACGACGTTAGGCTTCGGTCCAAGAAACACGCAGCCAGTACAATTGCCGCTTTTCCAGGAAAGTGGCAAGTTGATTGGCTGTACATTTCTCAGATCGAGAACTCGGACAGAGATCCATTGTGGTGTATGTATCTAATTTGTTTTACTTTTTCATGCAGTACATGCTGCCGTTTCTCCTTAATCAATGCGGCTCGGTGTTGTACTTCCTGACCCTGCCGAGCATCGACTTGTCCCTGGCGATACCGGTTTCAAATTCCCTTACCTTCGTCTTCACCGCGGTCACAGGCTGGTTCCTGGGCGAGGAGAAAGCGCACAGAAGTGAGTACGCGCGGGGTAATCGTCTTCGTATCGTTGGAAAGTGTCGCGAATCAGTTGCTTCACAATTCGCTCTATTTTTCAGATACCTATCTGGGAATGATGTTTATACTATGTGGAACCACGTTGTGTTGCTGGGACAACCTGAATAAAACTGTGGAAGTGTGACTTGTAGATTTAAATCAACTACCGTTATATGTCCGATCGCTACCCTTTCTTTTCCTGCTCATCCATTATCCGTCGACTGATCCATATCCATCCTGTGTAAATGTGAGTACCACAATGATTAACACGTACATAAAGTCCTTCCAACGAAGCGAAGAGTCGCGACATCCACTTGATTTGATCCTAATATTATGAAACATTTAACATTAATACATTTTATTATTAGTGACATGCTAGTTTACATCGTTGCGTTCATTAATCGTGTTACAAGACACAAGACTTGTTCTCGATTCTCGCGTTTGGCGCGTCTTACCCTTATAAAAGAGGAGCAATGTCTGTGTTAATAGATAATAGGTTTTATTCGTAATTCCGTACAATATCGTCAGTATTCATGATATTTACATGCATATCGCCTGATGATCCATATGTACACAAACACACACACGTAGATAGCACCGGGGGGTAGGAATGAAGTAGTAATTGTGGTGCAAGGATGACTATGTCGCCGTAATTAATTTGTCCACACGCAAAAAGCGTATCACAGTACAACAGATAATGTCTAGCATCGCGCGCTTTTATTCCGCTACACTGTTATCAAATATAGACGGGAGTCTGTGTCGATCCCTGTTGAGAATTTCGCAACAGTGCATGTGTAATCTGTGATCTATGAATGTACAGAGGAAGAGTTATATTTATATATATATATATATATATTTATCTGAAGACACACATAAGGCCTGGTAAAAATAGATTAAGAATTATGATTATCAACACAAGTATTTATATACAATAGGCATGCAGAGATGAAATTGATCTATACACGGGGAAATGTAGGTATCGCTGTACGTAACTGCCCGTTTCGCAAGTCGAGGTGATCTCTCGATCGTCAGGATAAAATTTTGGAAAATACATTTCTTCTGGAATCTATTTGTTACGCTATATAACGTTTGTCACAAAGAAAGGTGTTTCGTTTCGACATTTGCATTCGGGAATTTCATTAACGAAGAGTGTATTTACGCTATAGGAATGTAGAAAAATGATGGATGGCACTTTGATTCACGGTAGAATAAAGTGACGCGTTAATTTTTCGTGAGATGCGCTACGCGTATGGATTTTGTTACGCGAAAGTACGAGAGGTCGAAGCACTTTTTGTCAGATTCCGAGGGAGAGACAAAAGTTAATACACGATGGCGTGTTAATTCGTCGATGTATGCGAATATATTATGAACGCATTCTCATCATTCGCAGCAAATTTAATCCGTTAAATTTGGCAGAGAGAAAGCTGTTGAAGTAACGCAACATATTCGACATATTGAGAAGGTTCTCACTTTAGAATGCACTTGATATTTAATATACCTTTCCAGAGTTTACATTCGATCTGTTGCAATCTTCCTTGTTACAAAGAACGTTATTTATTTAATGCGCAACGAGTACAACAACGTTAATTTGACGAGTAACTGAGGTCGAAGCTTCTTCGCGTGTGCCTATGTATATCTGGATAATTGTTTTTATTCTGTTACGTATATAGATATGTGCGTATATCTATTTATGCGGGGATTAAAACTTTGTTTTAGGTAGCACAGAATATTCCAAAGAAAATCGCAAAATCGATCAACGCGTCGTTGCCGCAATCGCGTGCTACTCGGTTAAGAGATTAGAAAACCCGCGCGATCGACACTCGCGTGCGTGTTAAGAGGTGTACGAGAACGGTGTGTATTATCGATAAGTCGCGTCGCGTTATTAATCAGCGCGCGCCGGATATCGGCGCCTATTAATCGCCTACGAAATTACGAATTACACTTATGAAACTCGAGACTAGCATTGATCAATGGCCGTCCGATTCAGGCGCGGGACTTCTTGCTCTTCAGCTTGAACCAGCCCGCGCTCTTGTTCGGGTCACGCGGCACGGACGTGGATCTGTTCAACTCCGCCTTGGAGCCTATGCCTCGCGATTTGGTGGCCAGCGATTCCGTGGAAACAGTTCTGTCCACTTTCTGCTTGTCCTTCGATTTTAGCGTGCTGCGATTGATCGTACCTGCAATGATTCACGTGAACGTCTTTGTTCTTTCAATAGTTACGCCGACGTAAATTAATTCAAAATTGACAATCGTTTTCTTCATATTATGGACAACAGTACGAATTAGAAACTAACTTCGGACAATATAACGTTAATTTAGACTTGCGCGGCTCAGCTCTCTTTAATGAAGTCTCAAATTAAATCGAATTAAATGATCTTTGATCCACTGTTCTTAAAAACTCGAGAAAATCCAAATTCAGTTTTTTTCCGTTTTCCTCGAGACTTGATAAAACTACTTGAAATTACTTTAACTCGTTACAATCGTGTTCTTTATTTATTGAAATACTTGTTCACTAAATTCTTGGCGAATTGTTATTAGCAAAAATTAAGAACAAAAGAAAGAAAGAGATACATTGCCACACAGATGTTTACCAATTAATCTTATTTGAGGATTACGGAATTTAATTCGTTTGATTTGACGGGGCATTTAGTGGTTTTGTTCGAGAGTGAGATTTACTTGTCTTGGAAAGATTGTCCTTGCTTCGCCGTGCTTCCTTTCCACGGCGGCTGAGGGTTTCGCGGCTCCGTTGCCTGCGTCTCATGGTCGCGATCGGTTTCGCATGCTGTTGTTGATCGTAGTTGATCTCGAACGGTTCCCTGTAGTGTCGCGGCTTCCACGGAGCAAGGACGCTCACGCTCCTCGACACCGTTCTCGTGTGCGATTGCAACGGTCGATTTAACTCCTCGCGACTCGCCGCCCGGCGTCGTTCATTCGGGCCTGGTATTTCGCCGACTGGAATGCAGATATCGGTCTTGAGTCGCAATTAGAGTGCGGTTACGCTTGACATTTTCCGTACTTTCACTACCGAACGTTATTCACATAGATAGCTAGTTAAATAACTTTTGAACACCTAACCAGCGCGATATGATATTCTTTTATACATTTCCAATGACGCAAATGCGACAAGTATTGCATTTCAAGCGTTCAGTGAATAATATGCTTCGTAGAGCATGACTGTTATTGGCAGCGATAACGTTTCAACCAGATGTTACATGCAAAATATTGAAGAAAAAGTTTATGCATTTGAAAAAGTAAATTCAATACTTTTTTAGGAAAAATTTAATGTGACACAAGGCGTTATATTTTTGTCACTTTTTAATTTTCAATTTAGCGCATTAAAGTGCCATTTTATTTAACCTGAGAAGCTTGATTTGCAAAAGGTATTTCGTTCATTTAGAAGATGAATAACGCATCGATAGTTTTATTAGGATAAAGTCATCGTTTTTACAGTCCTTAATTTTTTCGACTAATTCTTGAATTTTTCAAGCGAGAAATTAAATGTATGTTGCACTGAAGAGTGAATTATAACATCTCTTTTTAACATAGAATTATAACAATTACGAATGCTGTACGAGCAGTACAATTTCTATATTGTACCTGTAGCAGCATGGAGATACACGACAGATCTCTGCGATCTCTGAGAGTTTTGACTTTGTTGGCTGCTGTCGCCCGTTGTACTCTCGCCCGAAGATAACGCGCTTTCAGCGAGTCTCGAGGATTTCCTTGGGCCTGACATGATACCCAAGTTGTGGCGCTTCGAATTCGTGACATCACGCCTCGAGCAGGCGTGGTCGTCAACTCGTTTGCTTCTGAAATAATTAATTGAAGTAATTAAACTTCTTTACGGTCAAAATCATCTTTTTAGCTATTTAGTTAACTGTAGATATTCTCTCTTTGATAAAAATTAGGAGATTTTGTAATTTTGAGAAAAAGGAACAATTGCACTTAGATTCTTTAACATACTCGGATGTAATCAAATATTAAAATATTCGGCGTACGTAAAGTAATTAGAGCAAGATGAATAGCGGCAGTGGACAATTGTATCTTGGTTTGAAACGATATTAATTCGAACGTAATGACGGTAAGAAAGTCGACAGTCGAAATATTGAAATAATTCTCGCGCGAAATATTTAACCGGTCGTGCATACGCGGTTTATATTATATTGTATATATTTACCTGCGGTCTCTGTTGGACGAGACGGACTCCTGATCCGTATCGCCGAAGAAGCGGAGATTCTTTTGCACGGAAACTCGTTCAGGCGCAGAGGAAGCTTCCTCATCCTCGGTGCCGGTCGTCAAGATCTCGCTCTCGGGTATTCTCGGCTTTTTATCCACCGGCTGCAAAGTTATCGACGCTTCATTATTCATGATCTCGAGGGAGGGGGAGACGCCAAATATAGCCGCGCACACATTATTTCTGCGTATAACAATTACGCCCGCTTATTCCAAATATCGATTTGTCGGACGTTGTAATTTCGCGCACAGAGGAAGACGAACTTCGCAAGTGCGATAGATTGAAACGTATCGCTGTAATGATATATTATTCCCTGGCACTATGTAATTTTCATAGCTAAGCACATACTTGGCTTCAGTTTCCCCGACTTTTACGGGCGGTTTCGCCAGTCTCGATTAACTTTGACTATAGATCCACTAATTTTCCACGAGATCGTCTCTTTAAAAAAGAAAGTCAGTTTTGTTAAGTATAAAAGGGATTTCCGTATATTTGAACCACGAAATATTTTTATCTCTTACTACCCAGATGTCGCATTGTATTGTAATAAGGTTCAGCAAATACGAATACTATTTTAATTGAATCTACAGCCTGATGTACAATGTGCTCTCTGCGTCTAGAAACATTCTATTTCGTAGTCAATGAATACGTTTAAAAGATTTGTGCAAGTTAATAATTTTTATATTATACATTGTATAATTGTACATAGTCGACAAATTTTTTAAGCGTTTCGATTTGTTTATACAAAATAGAATGTTTCCAGATGCAGAAAGCACATTGTAGTATTAGGCTTTAATAGATCTATAAAGCCCGTATCAGATTACGGATTGAGATTGAGATTAGACTGTGGCCAATTAGAGTAAAAGCAACTAAACTTGAAATTAGTAAACTTTACTCCGATTGGTCAAATTTCAATCTAATCTCAATCCGTAGCCTGATACGGGCTTAACGACAGTCGCGATTTTATCCAATACAAACTTATCACGTGTTTGCTATTAGACACTGTCCACTAGGTAGAGAATAAGATTTAAGAACGAGGATTTTAAGGACACTTTGAGCGTCCTAACGGGAATGCGAGAAAATAGAATACGACGCGCAAACGCGGTAACGTAGATCCCCGACTCTTTGTCAATTGTTCGCGACGAGCGCGAAGTCAGACGTAACTGGCCTCCATCGAAGGTCGCGATTTTTCGGAATCCAGCCCCTTCGTCTCTCGGTCGGCCGGGAGAAAATCGCGCGAGCGTGTACAAAGCTGTATTCTTCCCGCGGCTCGCAAAAATCGCGGCTTCCCCCCGTCGTTGCATCGCACGGCGCCTTCATGAGTCATGATTCTCCCCGGGCCGACTCATCCGATAGATCATCGTCCACGGTGAGATTCATACGCACGCAATCATCTCGAACGAGCGCGCGAGCGCGCGCGAGGAGAGCGGCGAGGAGGTCTCTGCTCTCCTCTCCTCTCCTTTCCGCTGCCTAAGATCGGCGGAGAATCGGGACCTGATAGAGATTATTCCCGTGCGCGCGGGACGATACGGTCGGCCTATAGGGCTAGGCAAGCAACCTCCTGATCGGCACTTAATCTCGCGATTAAATTAAACCACAGAGCGCGGAGTTAGTTAAGCATTTAATCAAACCCGTAATTGGAGGTTGCGCTGCCCTAATGGCTCCGCGCAGCGACCCGCGATCTGACTGATGAATGCGCACGGGACTGGTGCGCGAGTTGCGCGCGAGATAACCACGGCACGATCCGGGGAGAATCCGCTAGTTATCGGATAATACCCGCGAAAAAGATTCCAGGCTCTCTCGGAGGGATGATTTGTCGCGTTTCCGGCCGCGGGTCCAAACACGACGGTGTTTCCTCGACGATTCCTAATACGATCAGCCTGGCCCGTCCGACTCGCCGCTTTCGGTCGTCGGTTTTTCAACATCTGGTTACGTCATACGAACTCAAAAATGACGTCAACCGACGCGGAGGTATTCCGTTTGTACGCTATTATTAACGATCACCGTGCTGTTTTAATAATATAATTCCGCGCGAAATTATTACAATGATGCATGGCTCGTTATTACATTATGTACATTAGAGCTTTCGTAATTTTTTATCTGTTCGTTGAACGATTAATTGCAAATATCGAACGCTTTCGCACATTTTAAAGGAGTCGACTTAGTCCTCTTTTAGTTTTTTACCCAATAATTAAGTGCAACAATTTATATCCTAGCAGGAATATTCTTCAGGGTCGCCAGCAATAATTACAAAATTGAGATTTTTTACGTGCGTCAGCGGTTCTTACAATTAGCAGGCTTGATAAATTGTTAGGAGTAGAGAAGCAGGAATAGGAAAGGTTGTGATAGAGGTGGGAAAATAAAACTGTTGGGAACACGACGCTTACTGTGGCGTTGGATTTGTTCTTCCTCGAGAGGGACTTGAACCAGCCTTTCCTCTCCGCCTCTTGGCCCTGGTTGTCCCTGGTCAGGGTGTTGCTGGACTCGCAGAAGGACTCTTCCTCTCTGGTGAGAGTGCCGGTGGATCTCGAGAGTCTGGTCGGTCTGGGAGGGCTCGGGCTGCCGCTAGGTGTCGATAAGCGTCTGCGTTGACTATAATCCTCCTGAGTCAAAGCAGAAAAATCGCACGTTACATTCAGCGACTCAGCGTCTTTCTAAGTACTATCTCTATATACATAACTACCGCTTTCTCATCCGAACTACTCCGAGCATAATTCACTTCTCGGATCCCGGTGGAGGATCATATCCAATCGCATCGATCCAAGAATTTATAGTCCGGAAACAAGATGGATAAAAGGAATCTATTGGACCATAATTGATGTTCTTTCGCGATAATCCGATTTTAACGTTATTGATCTCGAATGTCTATAGATTGGACGACTATCCGATTATTGTCGAGCTATAATCGATCGAACCGGATTGGAGAGTACGTGCCGAGTGCACAAATTCAATTCGTATGTCCGTTTACCACTAAAAGTTTCGGAGCGGTGCGATGATGAAACGTCAAATGAGATTACGCGTTATCGAAATTCACGTAGCGTAAATCCGTGCGAATCGCATGAAACAGACTAGCTGGAATTCCAAATCGATCAGTTGACCACGATACAATCGAATCCGTTTGACGGGGCTGACAAAAGTACCCCTGGCTTCGTCATTTATGTTAATCGCCGTTTCGCCAATTACACACGATTGACCGATCGTCGCGGCCTTCCATTCCGCTACTCTATTCACGGGATGTATCGTAGGCGCGAGGGGGCCTCGACGGGCCCCGGCGGCCTGGAAAAACTCGCCCCCTCGAAGCGGAGGACGCGCGCGAAGATGCACGCGGGCAGGCAGGCGAGCAGGCAAGGCAGGCAGGCAGACGCGTGTCCGTTTCATTCCCGACGACGTCCACGTCGTCGTTATTATTATCATCGCGTTTTGCATCATCACCATCATCAGCGCTGCCACCTCCGTCATTTACTCTCGCTCTCGCGCATGCATAATGCGTGCCGGCGCGCTACGGCTCCGGGCGCTTATCACGACTCTCCCCTGTTTATTCATCGGTATTCCGGCAAAGACCACGCCGACGATCGTAATCGCAGCCGCCGTCGAGGCCGCCGAGGCCGTCGCCGGTGCATACCGCACGTAACGCGCTCGGAAACTGCACACAGGAAGTATCGCCGCGTATCGTCCGATCGGAATGTTAATCTCCCGCGGATCGATTGACGCGATCGACGTGCGATTGCGCGATCGCGTTAGTTCTCATTGCGAAACCGGGACACCGTCAAGGAAACGTGATACTTTGTGTGGATAAATCTAGCGTTCGATACGTAATCTATCGTAGTTCCGAGTTTAGCCGTCGTTAACTCTTGACCATGGTGGTCCACGTGACCGTATTGAAAATATATTTTTATCTGTGAAATTCTACTCTTATTCAAATTAACATTCAAAAGAAGAGCCTTCTTAATATCTCCCCGAAATCTTATATGCTGTAAACACACACGCATTTTACGTGTTTCAAATACCAACACTGAAAAAACAATCTGATAGATTCAACCAGTCGTCTGTTAGAAAATGGACGAATCAGAATTCCTTTAGGATTTACCAGATTTGTAGTGAAGTCTAGCAAACTTCTGGTTATGAAATATCTTTCATGGTAAATCCTAAAGGAATTCATTCGTCCATTTTCTAACAGACAACTGGTTGAATCTGTCAGACTTTTTTTCAGTGCAAGATTGAGTCTCCATATTTTTTAAATGAATTATGTCTCAGCAGCACAAATGCAAATCTAGGAAGGTAGAGAATTAAACACACATATTTTTCGAACAAAGTTAAATATCTTTCTACGTTGTGATATAAAGGAAAATTCTACACTGAAAAAAAAATCTGGTAGATTCAACCAGTCGTCTGTTAGAAAATGGACGAATCAGAATTCTTTTAGGATTTACCAGATGTGTAGTGAAGTCTAGCAAACTTCTGGTTACGAAATATCGAGCCCTGTCGTGCTAACTAGAAATTCTGTTTGGATTAGCCAAAATACATTCTATCATGTCTTGTTGATACAATCAAAGTAGTTTTCCCAGTGTACAGATATGAGATAAATGATATATTAGAGAAAATATATCTCTATTACGTGTACAATTATAATGAGACCGCAGCTATTTTCTCTAGCCTTTCGCGTTCTTGATTCAACTAGCGAATCTGTGTAAATGCCATAATTTTTTCGATACTCTCAGATAAAGGCATTCTTTCTCTTTTCCTCTCTCTCTTTCTCTCGTACGCGCAAATATGCCGTGTACCTCGGAGCTTTCAATACGCAATATAATAACATATCGCGGCGCGGCCGTGTATATAGACGTGCGTACCGACCGCGTATAAACTCTTAAATGACTCACAATGAATAGCCCATATCGCGGAATCATCTGCATAGTACAAGCACGACGCGCTTCCCTGGTACCCTCCATATATACGAGCAACAATATCTGCGTGTGCTTTCCATAACGAGTCGCGGCGCGCACCGACGCGACGACGACGACGACGACGACGACGACGTCGTGGACCGCGACGGTGACGACGAGGACGAGGACGAGGACGAAGAAGAGGTCGAGTGATGCTGAAGACGAGGAAAAAGCTGAGGTCTCCGGTACAGAGAGGCGGGAGGAGGAAGAGCCCGAGGGCATTGTGACCCACGCACCGCCCTGCTAACTCTTATACCGTCCGTGGCCTTCCTCCTCGCCGCCGTTCTTTTCCTTCCTCCTCATCCTCCTCTTCTATGCCTTCTTCGTCCGCGGGGAATGCGCGGAGCTACTCCCTTGCCCTTCTGTGACTCGGCGTGGGCCGCCGAGATTGGGCTAGGTCGCTTACGTACCCAAGTGCGTACGCATGCACGCACGCGTGCGTGAATACACGGCGTGGTGCGGGCGCGCGCGCGCGTGTACGTGTCATGTGGCTCGCGAAGCGTGCGCTAACGCGCGCGTGTATCCCCGGCGCATAACTCTGCAACATTAAACCGCTCGCCGTAGGTCACCGTAGATTACGCATAAATTCCGAGGGATGCGATTTACGACGTTAACTGGCATCCCGGTCCCCCTGCCCGCGCCTGCCCAACTCCTTTCCAGATTTTCTTCCCGCCGTCTGCGCGCGAGCGGCCGCGGTCGCCGCCGTCGCCCGTCGCCGTCGCTCTGTCGCCGCCGGTAGGCAAAGAAAATCGGTCACGAGCGAATCGAGTTTCTTCCCCCGTCTTCTCGCTCTTCTGCGTTTGACGCGTATTTCTCACGACGGTGGTGCAACGACTTTCCCACTCGATTGAACATTCACGAAGGGAAGTGGCCTCCCTTTTTCGTCTCTCCCTCATCCCGCAGTCGAAACGTGTCAAATGTTAAGAGTGCGAATAATTATAATAATTTTAATCATTCATGCCACTAATATAAAATACATAGTTATTCTCTGCAGAGAAGTATTAATCTTTAATACGTCTGACGAAATTTCTAAAATTCTCGCTCGTCTCGCGCGAAGCTTAATGGCTGTTCAAGTTGGAGTCAAACGGATAAATATTTAAATCTGGGGATTATTCTGCCTCTAATTGCTATCATAACGTTTTATATCGTGTTGATTCAGTGGTAAGGGAATAATAGGATAGAGACGAAATAATAGGCTACGCCGGTATAATATCGGAGATGCAAGAAGTATAATAGGGAAGCGAGAGGGAATCCTGGCGCTGTACAAAAGGGCATTACGGTAAGATCTGTAACGCGCAAAGCCGCAAAATAAACGAACGGGTACGTAATTGGTATTGAGACCCCTGTCGTATCGGGACCGCGATAGTGGTTCGCCGATGCACGCGCGCGTGCAACTGCATAATAGTAACCAAACATACTGAGGAAGAGAGGAGATCCGCGGCCAGCCAAGTTGGAAATAACCGCGGTGAGAAAAGGAACGAGAAGAGAGGGAGAGGACGCACCGCAAGAAACATCCACCTTGAATATCGCCGGCGGAGGACGGGATGTGGTTTGACCAGGAATGCCCATCTGGAGAAGATCGCGCTACCATGCGTTAAAAGGAATCCGTTACTATTTTTATGCCTGCGCCACCCCGCCCCTCCGCTCCAATTTCCCTCTGTTCAAATGCGATGAGATCTACGAGATGGCAAACGTCGAAGGTATTGAGTTGATAGAAAGAAGATCCTACTTCTAAGGACACGTTTCTAACAATTAGTTAAGATTAACCGAATTTTAATACAAGAGAGAGAGAGAGAGATTCAAGTAATTTTCAATCAGTATTCAATATGAATATTATAAATCGGAATATGACGTAATGAATAACAATTAGTTAAGGTGGCGTTAATTCAAATTAATTATTCGATGAGCTCAATATTGATTAAGTAATCTAAATATTATGACACTTTTCTCATAGAAAACTAGATACTTTTATAATGTAATATATTTCGTGTAGCCTGTGGCTTCCGTTCCGCTGAAGAATTTATTTCATTCCGTGTAGATTGTGTAAGTTTTATTCACAAAACTTTCCTCCTCTTCTAGGAATCCGTTTCGTCGCATAACAAGGTTTCTATAGATTGCTTGCTTTGTCTGGTTATATAACATCTTTCCCAGTTGAATATTCATAAGTTTTAAAATGTAATCCAATCTCTTCAAAAAACAAGTTCCGTGATTTTATCCTTACCTAATTTTAGAATTATAGTAGGTTCAAGTTTTTCTTATCACACAATCTTTAAAATAGAATCGATATTTAGAAACAACAAGAAAGGGTACAATTTACCGTTTCAAGATTTTTCGCGAGTTTCTAAACTTTGCGGTGCTCGGTTTTCTTTTTCGTTTTGGCTGACGCTATCGGGAACTTTGAGGTACAAGGATAAACGACTGCGAGAAAAGATTGGGTGGATACTCAACAGAAGATACTGAATATATGTTTTCGCTCTCGACGACCACCATCGCTGTCATTAATAATCAATAGCATTCTCTCTCTCTCTCTCTCTCTTTCATATTTTACATTCTTTATGGCATACAACTGTATTCATGAGATCTCGATGATACAATTCTCCCGAACGTAAATGATCGCTGTAAGAAACTTGTGACGTAACAACTAAATTCGCAGAGTTGGGAAA